GAGTCGGCTGAAGCTGAACCCGGCGAAGACGGAGGTCCTGTGTCTGGGTCGGAACGGGATGGGATTGGGGCTCCCGCTCCCGGCCTTCGACGGGGCGCCTTTGGTGCCAGCTTCGGAGGTTAGGAGTTTGGGAGTGCTCCTGGACTCCACCTTAACGATGGAGGCCCAGGTGGCAGCCACTGCCAAAGCAGCCTTTTACCCTCTTCAGCTGGTGCGGCAGTTGGTTCCCTTTCTCAGCCGCGAAGACCTAGCCACAGTGATCCATGCAACGGTCACCTTGAGGCTAGACTACTGCAACGCTCTCTACATGGGGCTGCCTTTGTCGCTGATTCGGAGGCTGCAGCTAGTGCAGAATGCGGCGGCCGGGCTCGTTGCGGGTGCCTCAAAATGGGACCACATCCAGCCTGTGCTGAAAGTGCTGCACTGGCTGCCTATAGCATTCCAGATTCGCTTCAAGGTGCTGGTGCTTACCTTTAAAGCCCTACATGGCCAGAGTCCGGCATACCTGAGGGACCGCCTTTCCCTGCACAGGTCCCAGAGAGCACTACGGTTGGGGTCGAAACATCGTCTTGCGACCCCGGGCCCCAAAGAGGCCAGGCTTGCTGCCACGAGGGCTAGGTCCTTTTCGGTGGCGGCTCATATCTGGTGGAACGAGCTCCCAGAGGAGATCAGGGCCCTGCGGGACCTGTTACAGTTCCGCAGGGCCTGCAAGACGGAGCTCTTCCGCCAGGCTTTTGAATAGGAGCCGCCGCCGCCGCCACTACCTTCAACGAGGGCCAGAAGAGCAGTACCGCTGGCTTAGGCTGAGTGGCCAAGGAACATCGGGGAGGCACATCATCCTCCCTTTGCCCCAAGGGCAGGTGCAATAGGGAGAGAGGTGTTTGTCACGCGGGATCCTTGGGCATTGCCCATTGTATTAAATTGTTTTAAATGTTTTACTGTGTTTGCATCGCACTGAGTGCCATATTGTGAATTACGGTGCTGCATTACACCCTATACTATAAGCCACCCTGAGCCCGCGTGCGGGGAGGGCGGGGTATAAATAAAATAAATTAAAAAATCATAGATTCTACTCTTCGATTCTCTTGTGTTACTGAATCTAATTTCTTATCTATATGTTGTACTTTTTGCTCCATTTCTGTTGTCATTGCTGCCAGACCTTGAACTTCTTTTTTTACATCTACCATTTCCTTCTTGACCTCTGTTACTTCTGATGTGACCAAATCTTTATTTGCTGCCATATTCTTCTCTTGAACTTCGTCTAGGTGCTCTAGATGTTTTTGCATTTGCTTCTCCATTTGTTGCTCCAATTGCTTACCCAATGTTTGGATTGCCTCCATCCTTCTCTTCTCCATTGCTTCCATTGCAGCCTGCCATTCTTTTTTGTCTTTAACTGACATCCTGGGGCTTGATGTGGATGCAGCTCTATGCCTTTGTCTTAGATCCGTTTTGAAACTTTAAAAGATTCGCTGTCCAATAATTTTTATATTAATCACTTCTTTTTCATGTGCTTGATCGAATCGCCTTACTTCCGCAGTTTTTAACTTAATTTTTGCGCTTTAAAAAAGTGTTTCAAAATTTAGTCCTCCTCAAAATGGCGGGCGCAATTTCTCTATGATATTCTGGCTAGAGTAGGCACTTTTTCTACCTTGCTTCTTTCTGTGTAACCGCTTATTTGAACTTCTGGTGCAGCTCTTTATTAAACCGATCATCTTCTGGTCTCCAACAGTCTGCCGTGTCCACTCTAGCTGCTTTCTTGTCTTTCAAACCCACAATTCCTGCCGGAATATTTTTACTGCAACACAGTTCACTTCTCTCTCGCGATCTTTTTCGGTAGTTTCGAGTTCAGGTACCACCATTTATCTCTTGCAAACCACAGGAATGTTAAACACAATTGCTTTTTCCGTTATTTTAACGTTTAAAACAAGTTCTTTCTGTATGAAAATGGGCCGAATCAATTTAAAAAGTTTTTATGCGCTTGTCCGCTTGCTTCAAAGATCGTCACAACTTGATCCCAGTAAGTGACACAGCTTTGTTACCTTGCATGTTTATCGTGGGTCTCGCATTGCTTCTTTGTAGATCTTGTTGTTCCTTATCTTCAAGAGATCGGGAAATGATGGATTTATGCTGGTACACCAGCTCGATCGGCTCCTGGAGTGCTGCTTTGCATACGCCCGCTTCGTGGAAGGAGATCAAAGCGTGACACAAGCCTCTTCCGAGACTTGATCACGCCGATCTCAACTCCCGCTTGGGCACCGCTGCTTGCTGGTCAGTTCCCTACCTGGGGGCTGCTGTGTTGGGCTATTAAAAGCCCAAACTGTCGAAAGGAGCCGTCGCCCACCCCGCTTGTTCGCAGGATGTGTTAATTCGCCATTTTCCCCCGACCAGAAGCCCCAGGGCAGTAATTTTGGAGCTACTCCTGGAGTGGCCAAAAATTGTGCAGAAAGTTTCACAAACATCGTTGATTTAAGGATGCAGATGTGGCGATTTGCATGTGTGCAGAAATGGTCTGTGTGAGGCAAGGGATGCTCTGTACTCTTGGTGCCTGAGGGGGGTCCATAGTGGGAGGGCTTCTAGTGTCCTGTCCCCACTGCTGGACCTCCTGATGGCAACTGGTATTTCTGGCCTCTGTGTGACACAGAAGAGTGTTGGACTGGATGGGCCATTGGCCTGACCCAACATTGGCTTCTCTTATGTTCTTATGTCTGGGGCAAGGGATGCACTGTATTCTCGGTGCTTGGGGGGGGGCAACAGTGGGAGGGCTTCTAGCGTCCTTGCCTCACTGCTGGACCTCCTGAGGGCCCCTGGTATTTTTGGCCACTGTGTGACACAGAGTGTTGTACTGGATGGGCCATTGGCCCGATCCAACATTGGCTTCTCTCTTATGTTCTTATTTGAGGGGAGATTTTCTGAACTACTTAAAAACAACTCTGTCACCTTCATGTTAAAATCTGCCCGCTGGGACCGGATTTTCTGAGACAACAAAGCAAATCCAGGAAGGGAAGCCAGAGTTCTGTTTCCTTCTTGGACAGTGCAGAAGAGGACCATCTAAAAACCTCTCGGGCTGTGCTGCCCTGTTACTGTTCATGAGTCTCTGGCCCTTTGCTGCCCTGCTGGATGACTTGCGCCGAGAGGGGTGGCTGGGGGACGCGTGGCCCCCACTGGGTCTCCTGGACGTGGCTTTTTGATGCTGCCAGTCCTCCTGGACCACCTGCCTGGCCTGGCGTTGGGAGGAGGCACTGTTTTTCGGTGTTTCACTCTTGAGGGGGACGTGGGCTTCAGGAGATGGTTCCGGGAGAGAGCTGCCAGGTCCTGCAAGATTTCGTCTTGCCCTCCGGGCTTTCTAACATCTGTGAAAAGCTGCTGGATGAAGTCACCCAGAGGTTTGGGCTGGATAATTTCACAAAATTTGTATCCTGCCTTTCTGTTCTCATGCAGGCTACCCAAGTAGCTAACAAATCAAAACATACATGATAAAACCACATTTTAAAACCATTAAAATCACCCCCACAAAAAGAGCTAAGACGCACGCAAAGACGTAAAAACAGCAACTGAGACACTGGCCAGGAAGGGGAGATCACTGAGGAATCCGGCCCTACCGGCAGGTGGCGCAGCCGTACAGCCGGGGGCCACCTTTGCCTCCGTTGAAGGAGGAAGGGGAGACACGTATCCTGGGCCAGCTACCTGCCTTGTGCAACTAATCAGCGGACTGTGGAATTGGCTTGAGGTGGTGCTGATGGTTAGGTTGGTCACTTTAGTGGGCAGGATTGGGGCTGAGAACGGAGATGCGGCTAAGGGGAGCACCAAAGAATTACTTCAGGCGATAGGAGTTTGGCCAGATTAGCCTTTGGGTTGGACGACCCGGGGGAAGATGGCAAACTGCCTTGGGGACCGCTTAAGTTCTTCGACTTGGGGCTGGATCTCCAGGGTATGTCTTTCGCTGTGCCCGCCGGTGGGGAGCCACACAGGTTGGCTCAAGCTGGGGGTGGGTGGGTGGCTCCGCGTCCTGCGACTGGGGGAGGGTCAACACTGACCCTTGGCCCGGATCGTGCCGCTTTCCATATTTTGCCCTTGCCGTTATTTTCAGCTGTAATTTAATAAAGTGGCCCATAGTTCATCCAACCTTCCGTGTCTGACTCTTTATTCCGAGTATGGGGGCAAATGCCAAACGAAACAGAAAAGCCTTCCCTTCTTGTCCCCCATTCCAGGAGCAACGACGGATACCCCAGCGGGGCGCTTTACGCATCGGTCAATCCCGAGTACTTCAGCACCTCAAACAGTGAGTACCAGATGGGTGGCTCTCAGACTAGTTTTGCCTTCAAGACATCCGGCTGCGGCAGAGCGTGAGAAGCACCCTGCTGGGTCAGACCACTGCGGGTCCATCCAACCCAGCATCCTGCTTTGCGCAGCATCCAACCAGTTCCTCTGGAGGGCCAAGCCAGAGGGGCACAGGGATCCAGAGGTTGACTGCCTCTGGCTGTGGAGGCTCTCTTCGGGTGCCCCCTCCGGGGATCTGTGTGAGGTTTTGTGTTGGGAGAGAACTGGCCGCAGCCACCGTGTGTTCACTGTGGGGGCGTGGTGGGGGCTGTGCTCCGGAGGAGGGCTCTGCGTCCTAACATCTGCCACTCCTCAGGCAGGGCTTCCTCCCTCTCCACAGAAGCCCGCTTTTCTTTTAGGCACCAGGCAAAAAACACTCGCTCGCCTGGGCTTTTGTTAACTTCTAAAAATGGCTGCTTTGAAAGGGGAACTCCGGGGCATGACGGCCCACCGAGGTCCCTCCCCTCCCCCAAACTCCGCCCTCCCCAGGCTCCACCCCCCAAATCTCCAGGCATTTCCCCGCCGGGAGCTGGCAAGACGCATTGCTCTGCGTTATGAAATTCGGCTGGTCTTTTTTGCCGCTTCTATGTTATTACGCTGCTGCTGCTGCTCCTGCTGCTGCTGCACATTGATACTAGTCTATTTCGTGCTGCTTTTGATTTGTGATATATGATTTGTTCTCTCTGTTTTATTGATACTTGCGGCCAGGCGCTTCGAAGGTGGGAAGACGCCAGTCTGTCCTTTCAGCAGGGAGAGCGACCTCAGCAGCCAGGCCTCCTGACCCCGGGGGCTTGGGTGGTCGGCGGGTCCTCCTGGCTGGCGGGGTCTCGTGGGGCTCACGTTGGTACTGGTGGGATTTGCACCTGCTGGGCCACATCCCTCCGTCTCACCCTCGGCCCCTCTCAAGGGTGCCCTAAAACTGCTCCCACCCACTCCCCACCCCCAGTTTGCCTGCCGCCGGGTCAGGCCCACTCCCAAGTGCCTCCCTCTCTTCCTCTCTCTCTCTCTCTCTCTCTGTGTGTGTCTCTCGCTCTCCGCCTTGGGCCGTCCTTCTCCAGTGTACATTCCGGACGAGTGGGAGGTGCCCCGGGAGAAGATCACGGTGCTGCGGGAGCTGGGCCAGGGCTCCTTCGGGATGGTCTACGAAGGGATCGCCAAGGACCTCGAGCAGGAGGGCCAGGAGACCAGAGTCGCCCTGAAGACGGTCAACGAGACGGCCACCCGCAGGGAGAGCATCGAGTTCCTCAACGAGGCCTCCGTGATGAAGGCCTTCCGGTGCCACCACGTGGTGGGTAGGAGAGGGCCCGGTCGCCTCGGGGGGGGGGGAGCTGGAGCACACGTGACAGAAAACCGGGTCCCTGGGGGGGGGTTTCCGTAAAGAACCTGGAAAGGAGTTTCAGTTGGCCATTTGTCAGTGACGCGTGAGCCGTGTGAGCCACGGCTGGAGGCAGGCCCTCCCCCCCGCCACCCTCGCTCTCAGCAATAAATAAACAAAAGGGGCCTTCCTGGCCCCCGGGGGTCACGTGATGCAGAGTATGCGGCATGGAGGGCGGTGGCGAGGGGGTGGGGTGTCAGGGAGTCACGTGACCTTTGTTCATTGGCGCTAGGATCGGCTCCAGGTGGTGGTGGTGGGTGGGTGGGGGGAACCACAAAAGGAATGTTTGTCCAGGGACTGATATTGCCCTTGGCAGACCGGGGAATATGTGCTAAAGCCCTCCGTGCCCGCTAAGTGTGCGCTTCTGTGCCCTCGGCGGTGATGCTGGCTTTGCCCCCGGCTGTCCCTCAGGTCCGTCTCCTGGGCGTGGTCTCCCAAGGGCAGCCGGCCCTGGTCATTATGGAGCTGATGACGCGAGGAGACTTGAAGAGCTACCTCCGTTCTCTCAGGCCAGACGCAGAGGTGGGTTTCCACGGCGCCCCGAGGGGAGGTTTGCCCGCCACAGCAAGGGATTTTAGGGTACTTGGAGACTGATGACTGTCTTTTAGCTGCTCTTTTGTATTGTAATAACCACGCCGTTTAAAGCAAGAGCACGGACACATCCCAGCAGGAAGATTTTTGCTTCCTCTTCAGTCCCTGCTATTCCCCAGAACAGAGTGGTGGCCTCCCGCCCCCCCCCCCCCCCGTGCCACAGCCCCGAGACTCTCTCCTGGGATGGCTGAGGTGCTCTTTTCGGAAGGTGGGCGGGGAGCAGTGTCCTCCCAGTGAGGGCAGGGAACGGGCCAGCTGCGGTCGTGACTCGCTCCTGGTTCTCGGGGGCAGGCCGGGTGGTCCTTCGGGCGCGATGCTGACAAGGGCCTCCCCGTCACCCAGATCCCCGCCTGCCTCTCTCCCCCTCCCCCCCATTTTCTGCCAGAACAACCCCGGCCTGCCTCCCCCCTCGCTGAAGGACATGATCCAGATGGCTGGAGAAATCGCGGACGGCATGGCCTACCTGAATGCCAAGAAGTTTGTTCACCGGGACCTGGCTGCCCGCAACTGCATGGTCTCTGAGGACTTCACCGTGAAGATTGGAGGTAAGACGAGGACAGGGGTGGAGGAGCCCCACCGACCCAGAGGGGCGATAGGAGGTGTGGAAGGGACCTCAGGAGGTCACCCGTCAGGTAGGAGTGGTGGGAAGTGCCATCCTCGTATCCGATTTAGGGAGGAACCCCTCCCCCCCCCGGAGGGTTGTTAAGGCAGGAGGTGAACCTGGGGTGGGTTGGCCGTTGGCTGCTTCGGTGCCAAAACCCTGGACTCCTTTGGTGGCCTCCCGTCCAAGTATGAACCAGGGCTGACCCTGCCTGGCTTCCGAGATCCGATGCAGCTGGGCTCACCTCGGCCAGCCCTCTCGGACTGAGGCAGCTGTTAAGGCTATGCAGATTCATCCCTCAGTTTGTGCCACTGTACATAGTTCAAACTAGAGCTGCAGAGGAAACTCTGTGACGCCAAATGTTTTCTGGACGACGTTCCCAAGTGGCAGTGAGGCAGTCTGCTGTTGGTCGGCTTGGTTCGTTCAGCCCGAGCTTCTGTGCCCGTGAAGCAGACACTGGCAGGGAACCGTTGCTGTCTCCCGGCCATGAGAAGTTTGATGAATTATTTATTCTAAAAAGAACGTTATGCTGCCTCTCCGCGGAGCCTGCCTGAGGTGGCTTACACGATTAAAACATCCTTTTATGACGACCCCAGCAAGGAGCTATGACGACCGCGCCCCTTCCGTCCCTCAGAGGCAAGATTTTCCCTCCGTTTTTCTCTCCGTTTCTGACTGAGCAGCCCTTTTTATCTATTTTCTTCTTTTGTGAAAAAACAGTGGCCGTCCCACCCTGTCAGTATATGATATTTTGCTGCTTGCCCAGCCCAAGAACTTGAGGGAAGGGACAAGTTCTCCCTCTTTAACTTAAACTACTGAAATGGCGCTTAAGAGGCTTTTAAAGTTCAAAAATAACAAAATGTTTTATTCAGTGTAGAGGGGAAAGGTCAGGTGAAATCAGGGATAAAATGTCTGAGGTAAATCAATAGAGAGCTCTGAGGTAAATCAGTACCGGCAGAGACTACTGTTCATATGTTTTAAGCAACTGAGAGTTTCTTAAGATTTTCACAGAGACTTAGGGCTATTAAACACCGGCGTTCCCCCTCGCTTTCACTGTGGGTGTCGGTCGGGCTTTCTTTCTCGTTCTGCATTGATTTCCCCCCCTCCAGAGCTCAGTTCACTTTCTGCTCGCTGTTCCCCTGGGTTTTCTGAGAGTGCTTTTGTGCCAGATTCTTCCTTTTTTTGCCCACAAGCTGAAGGTAATTCAAAAGCGTACAGATTCTCTTGGATTTCCCCCCCCGCCCTTTTGCTGCCCCTTGAAGCCCACTCCCCCAACCACATCGGAATCATTCTGCTCACGCTGCACCTTCCACCACCCTCCCCCCTTCATCAGCAGACAAGTGCCGTTTACAAATTTCTTCCTTCTTGTTTTAATCTTTTTTTTTTTACAAGCGGTATGAGTCTAACAATATGAGATGATCACTAGTCTTGGAACTCTGAATTAAAAAGCTGAAACAACAGGGAAAGCCTTTAAAAGTTGTTTGAGAGGTTGCAGTCCCCAGCAATTCTTTTGCTACACCTGCATCCAAGCAGGCCTCCTTCACAAACGCTAAAAGGAGGGCGGGAGGGGGGGAGGGAAAAACCACCATTGGGTTGTGAGCCACCAATCAAGCCCAGCAGTGAGTGCCGTGGCTGCAGCCAGTGCTCAGCTGGGGTGTGTGTGTGTGTGTGTGTGGGGGGGTGTGCGTGCACATGGGGAATGGGCCAGCCAAATTGTTCAACAAGCACTGTCCCCCCCCCCAATTTCAGCTTTCCCACAGCTCCCCTATTCATTCCACTCCCCCATATGCCTCCAGGGTCTAGCGGAGGACTTTCTCTGCTCTGGGCATGAATCACCCTTGAAACGTCTGCAGGTTAGCTTGGCGCTGGGGGGGGCGGGAATCTCCCCTCTTCTCCCTTCTCTTTCTCCAGCCCATGAGTGCGTGTAGATCATTTGGCTTTACTGTGCACTCTCTTACCTTTGGTGGATTTAAAGTAATGTTTTATCGCTAGTCTTCTTGTACCGCTTTTTAAAAACCATTAAACTATGGGGAAAATAATTCAAAATGGTGCCTGTGTGGCAATGAAGGAGGGGGATGGTGGAGGGAGGTGGTTCTTTTCCGTTTTTCACAGTGGCCGATAACACAGCGGAGAATCTGCTAGAGCGTGGCAATATTTTGCAGCTGCTCTAGTCAGTTTCAAAAACAGTTTTGTCAGTTACTTTGCCTGCCTTCCTCTGTGTTCCCTTTCATGGGAGGAACTGAGCCCCAAAAGGATTTAAACGGAAGGGGCTTGCTTGACTCTGCTGCCCAGCTGCGATAGGGCAATTGTGTAGATTTCTTTTTAAACTTTCGTTTCCACCCTGCACACGTCACAAGTGGCGTTCCCACCTCCATTAAGAAGACTGCCTCTTTTTGTTGTAGCTGCAAAATAAATACACTGGAGGAAAAAGAACGGTGCGCATAAGGCAGGAACAGGATCCGAAGTCCAAGGTCAAAGGCTCGGCTGCTTGGGGCCTCTGCAGGGGCCTCTGCGCGCTGCATCATCGGCCCTAAAATCTTTCGGATGCGAGGCTCTCGTTTCAGTGTTTCCTAAACGCTCCAGTACACTTCCTTGATCGCATTTGGCTCTCTTCCCCTCCCCCCCTCCCCAGAAGGCAGAGGGATGCTCTGTCAGGTACCCAGACTCCCTTCGCTAAACATACCGGTACACTTCCTGAGTTATTTTCTACTGACTCTTCAGGATTTAAAAGGCAGTTTCTAAACACACCAGATCAGGGATCACCCCTTTTCCAACCGGGTGGGAAATTCCTCTCTCACTAGAAGATCTATCACCTTTTCGGATTAAAAGTTTTCAGATGAAAAGCACACTAAAAGCACCAGGTGAGCCTCAAGGGGAATGTCATTCCTGAGGTGAGGTGCCACTGCTGAAAAGGCCCTGCTGCCCCCGGGTGCCCCTCGCCTCTGAAGGTGGAGGGCACCCCGCGTGAGCGGTGCTTGTGAGGCAGATCTGAGCTGGCACCCTGGACAATGTCTGCTGCTGTACCTGCCTCCCGTCTTCTCATGCTGTGCCCTGCAGCCACCTAGTCGTAGTGTAGCCACCCGGAGGTTTATTGATCTTGGATTTGGTTCTGAGCAGGGCTCAGGACTGGGAGCAAAATGCAGATGCTGCTGAACTAACTAGGATCCGTGACCGCAATGCTATTAAATTCTGCATTCCCATCAGTGAAAAGCTGCCCACCCCCAAAGTCCAAAATGATCACTTTTGATTTCAAAAAGAAACCTTACAAAAATGAGGGAACTAGTCAGAAGCCAGCTGAAACGGGTTCCACCACCAGACTGCAAGGCTTTTGTTTCTGTTTTCTTTTCTCCCATATTTCCACACAACATCATCTTCCTTTGTGCACAGACTGCTAACAGCCTGTTCTCTCCACAGAACCATCTTGGCCCCACGGGCACATGGGCCAGATAACGCCGGGGAGGGGGAGGCGTGGCTGTTTGCCCCGGAGCAAAATAAAGCCCAGTAGCCCGATCACACGGTCCCTCGAGTCTCCACGCTTAGGCTGCTAGCTGGCGATCACACGGCGATGCTGGAGCGTGGCAAAGAAGTGGCGCGGCACGATCGCACAAGTGTTTCGCATTTGTGCACATGCGCAGTTCCATGGAGCAGCACTGCTTTCAGTTACGTGTTTGTGCGCATGTGCTTATGAAAAACATCCGGTTTGCGACGGGACGTGGACGGGCGCCGGATGCCACGGGATACTAGCACTCCCGTGATCAGACACCCACCCCTGCCCCGCGTTTTCTGGATACTAGTGCACTTTCCATGGTACTTTTTTACTGCGCATCTTTGGCGGGACGCCACGGGTGCGCTACGCTTCCCAGATGTTGCGGTGTGATTGCGCCCCGAAAATCCACCTGACATTCGTGCCTTTAGTGTGGCAAATCCTGAGTGAGACCGGGGGGCCCTTCTTTATTTTAAACTTTCAGAGAGCACACGGCGCTACCCTCAGGAGAAGCCTCTTGCATCGAGAGGGGAAACGGGGTCCTGGGGGGGGGAGTGCGGGTCAGTGCCTCTTGCCTGGGTTGGTGACTGAAGCCCCCGCCCCCAGCTGCAGAAATTAACATAACAAAAGGGAATCACCTGCCTTTTAGACAGGGGGGAGGGGCTTGTCAGAGGAGAATTTTTGTTTTTAGGCTGTAAAGGTAATTTGTTATTCCGGCCCAGGGCTGTTTGTTGGGTTTGTTTTTTCTCTCTCTCTGCAAACAGGTTTTCTTTCTAAAGTTTTTAAAAAGAAAATACGTTAACTCTACGCAGTGTTATTCATGCTCCTAAAAGAAAATGCATACCCTAAAAAATGGGTGGGTGGAGGGCCAGGTGAGAGCACAGTGTGGGCGGGGTGGGGGAGGGCCCCCCCCTTGAAAGCAGCGCTTCAGGTATGAAAGGGAAGCCGCGGCAAAAAAACCAAAACACTGGAGAGCAAAGAGAGCGTTCCGGGTGTGCGGGATCTCCATGGCAAGGGTGATTCTGCACAGAATCAAATGAACAACCAGACAACCATGAAAAAATTACCCCAGTGTGGGGAGAATTCAGAGAGTCAGCCCTCTCCCAAAACTAGACTGATCGAGGCATGTAGAGAATGCACACTTGCAATCAGGAAAGGGACCGCCAAGCCCTAAGGGACGCCTGTCTGTCAACAACCCCAGTCAAGGAAGCCCTAAAAGGAAAAAGCAAAAAAAGCAAAAAAGGCTGCCTTTACGAAGGGGAAGGTCTGCCCCAGTGGAGGGAACGGAAGGGGACACAGGGCGAAAGCCTCAGGGCAGAGGGAGCAGGAAACGGTCTCCAGAGGCGGTTGGGTCTTTGGATGACAAAGGACTGCTGAAGGAAGAGGGCAGACGGGTTCCCTCAGGGGCCACTAGTCCTGGCGAGTTAAGGGAACCTCCTCCGTCTGCGCTGGCAGCAGGCCTCGGGATCTCCGGGCTGGGAGGCGGCGGCGGCAGCAGAGGACGGCCTTGGCCTCCATGCCCTGGCTGGTTGCCTCCCGCCTGAAACACGGTGGGTCTCGTCCAGCAGGGCTCTCGTGTCTGCAGCTGCTCTTGGGCACACAGGAGTCTCCTGCGCTTGACTTCTGGCCCTGAGCCCCGGCATCCCTCCGTGCCACCGACACCCTCCACCCTCACCAGTCACCACACAAGGGAGGGCCTGGCCCCCCCCGGAAGGCATCCTTCCCGGGCTGCTTGTCCCCCGGGGGCCCTGCAGAGGGCAAAGCCAGGGGTGTGGGTCCTGGTGGGAGGTGGGCACGAGGCTCTGGCCCTGCTCAGCCCGGAGGGGTCGGCCTCCTGCTACCAGACTCTGCTGTGTTGCCCCTGCTCTTCCGTCTCACCAGTCACCACACAAGGGAGGGCCTGGCCCCCCCCGGAAGGCATCCTTCCCGGGCTGCTTGTCCCCCGGGGGCCCTGCAGAGGGCAAAGCCAGGGGTGTGGGTCCTGGTGGGAGGTGGGCACGAGGCTCTGGCCCTGCTCAGCCCGGAGGGGTCGGCCTCCTGCTACCAGACGCTGCTGTTTTGCCCCTGCTCTTCCGAAGCCCCAAGGCTCCCCCACCCCACCCCTGCCCTCCCAGGGAACCCTTCTCCTAGTGACCCCTTTCTTCTTGGTCCCTCCCCTTCCGGTGGAAAGACTTTGGCATGACCAGAGACATCTACGAGACGGACTATTACCGCAAAGGTGGGAAAGGATTGCTGCCGGTCCGCTGGATGTCCCCCGAGTCCCTGAAGGACGGGATCTTCAACACACAGTCCGACATCTGGTAGGGGGTCTTGGAGCGGGAGGGAATGTGGCCCCTTTTTTGGGGGGGGGGTGCGTGCGTGCGTAATGTGCACGGTGGGGTTACCCTGCCCTGTGAAGCGTGGGTCTGGGGGGCTATAACAGAGGCAGGTCGGAGGGAAGGAGGGAAGCCCCTTGGCCCCACTCAGAGACCTCCCCGGCAGTCTGCCAGGACTCGTGCCCACAGCGCTGGGGCTCTCGAGCGGTTTGTTGGAGGGTCAGGGAATGGCTCTAGGCATCACCAAGCCCGGGAGCCAGAGGCCAAGCAGGCGAGTCCTCCAGACGGCCCAGTCCTCCTCTCGACAGCTTCAGCCCCACAGCCTCCCCTTGCTCTTTTGGGATCCACGGGGGAAACTTAGATCTATCAGCATGAATGGTCGGCTTTGAGATTCTGCAGGGGTTAGTAATACCGTAATGGTGTTTCTCTGCTTCCGAAAGGCCTGTGAGCCGTAACAAAGGCCCACTGGCGGCCGACTGGTGTGTAGCCATCAGTACATGTAAGCCCCCCCCCCGCGCATGGCAGTGAACAGCCCCCTGGGGGCCACCGTGTGATGGGACAGAGGGGGTGTCTGAGCTCCCTCTCCCTGTGTGCTGCGTGGTCTTGATCCAGGCTGGATCCCTGTGTGTCCAGGAACCGATCCCAAGTGCTCACGGTGGTGGGTCTTTGAACACACGAACCAGCTCTCCCAGCTCAGCTGGAGGAGGAAAAGGCGAAGGCTGGGAGGCCGGCCAGACCCAGAAGCAGAAGCCAACTCGCAACCCCCCCCCCAGCTCCCTGCCCCACCCCTGCCCAGGAAGGCCACAGACTGACCCGGGCAGCATCCGGGCACGCAGGAGGCCACCCCTCCGACAGCCCCCGAAGCCAGCCCCGTCCTCTGAAGTGCAGCCGAAGCGGGGAAGGGAGGGCTGCGCCCGTGGGCTCCTTCGGCGGCTGATGGGCTGCCGGCCCCACTCTTGCAGGTCCTTTGGGGTGGTGCTGTGGGAGATCACGACGCTGGCGGAGCAGCCGTACCAGGGCATGTCCAACGAGCAGGTCCTGCGCTTCGTCATGGACAACGGGGTGCTGGAGAGACCGGAGACCTGTCCGGACAAACTGTGAGTCGCTCCCTCCCTCTTTCCTGCCTGCCACCTCCCCCATGGCGCTATCCGGGGTGGGGGCGCGGGGAGAGGCAAACTGCCTCCCCGGCGTCACCAGAGCCCCCCCCCGGGAGGGAACGGCTGGAGGCCCACAGTGCAGCCAGCCCCCCCCCCGCCGGGAGGAGCCTTGGGGTGTGTGTGTGTGTGTGTCTCAGGCGGTCCCTTCCTCTCCCCCCTTTCCAGGCACGAGCTGATGACCGGGTGCTGGCAGCAGAACCCCCGCCTCCGCCCCTCCTTCATCCAGATCCTGGCGAGCATCCAGGACGACATGAGCGCCGGCTTCCACCAGCACGCCTTCTTCTGCAGCGCGGAGAACAAGCGCCGCAGCTCCTGGGAGGAGACGACCACCGCGCCAGAGACTGAGGCAGACCTGCTGCTGCTGCTGCTGCGGGAGGCGGCGGCGGCGGAGGAGGAGCTGCTGCGGCCCTTGCCCCCGGGCTCCCTCCCCGGGCGGAGCAGCCCCCTCCTCGCCCTGGGCCTGCGCGCGGATCGGGACCGGCCCACAGACTGCTGCCACGCAAATGGGAAGCCCCGGCTCTGAAGCAGGCCTCTCCGGCCGAGAGCGCTGGACCTGCCCAGGACCCCTTACCCGGCCTCAGGGCGGCTCCAGGACGGGACCCCACCCCACCCCCCGTCTCCCTCCTAGGAGCTGC